TTCGTGTGTTGTCTGCTGCCAGTTCGGCATTCATGTCGCCCATTAGAATTTCGATATCGCCAACTGACGTCTTGTCCAGTGTTGATTGAAGTTGCCTGTAGAATTCCTCCTTCTTCTCTTGCTCTGCATTATTAGTAGGCGCATAGCTTAGCATTGTATGATTGTGACTTTCCTTCCTTCTGGCTATCATGAACATGATCCTGGAGGAGGAGACTTGTTCCCATTGAATGAGAGCCTTTGATGAGCTCCTGAGGATATCATGATGGTCACTCGGAATTTCAGTGTGCTGTGCTCGTGGTTGTCTTGTCGTCTGGGTGATAATATTGGAGTAGATTATATTATTGGTTCTCCAGTTGACAGTTTGGAGAGTCCACTTCCATTGTATCTGCTTTCGCAGATTCGATTCCTAACACTTCTGTGTTATACCTTGTCATCTATTTTGCAATCTGGACAGCCTCTCCAACCAGCTTTATGCATTGTTCGTACATTCCATGTCCCCATGCTTACTTTCGATTTCGTCGGGAGGAGATACATATGCCAATTGGCTTCCCGAAAGCTTTCAGCAACTGACGTCATTTTGTCTGCGTGATTGCAGTGGGGAATAAATTTATTGTATATATATATTTGACGTTTAGATACACAGTATAACGAACAGATACTCAAATACATATTCCACTGAGGCACTGACTAGTGACGATTTTAGTATCACAGAGTCCCATGAGAACATTTTAGGAAACTTACATGGCCCTATTGAAAGTGAATAATGAGTTTGAAAAATGATCTGAGTTTGAGTGACTTAAATAGACTTAAGTATTATAAAGGTTCCGTTCCTTTCAAAAAATATTTATCTACTGTGCATTTCTGAAAAAAGGATTCTCACTCATGAGAAACAGAATCTTGGTTCTGTTTAGTTCAATTTAAATTTCACTTGTACATTGGAAGGTTTCAACTAATACGGAAACTATTCTTATAAGTTTAATACTTGAAAAGTTATGTTAAGTAATTCAACAGTTCACAAGACTGTCACCAATACAATTTCTTACTTACACTATCATGCTGTTGGACAATATTCTTTTTGCAGTCCTGTGCGTATCTACTGTTAATGTGAAAGTGAATTCAGTTTCCTCTAATTACCACTATAAGCAATCCTATAATATAACATGCTGAGAATTCTAAATAGTATCAAAAGTTGTTTGGAATTAAGTGATTAGTGTTATTATTCATGTGGTTGATTTTATTTGACTAATAGACATACATAAAGTGGTCATTATTGTATTCTGAATACAATATCATGTGCAGTTATCCAGTGTCTGTTCAACCTATCAGAGGCTATTGAAACAAGCTTGCTCAACTCTGAACTGTATATTCAGAAAGAACATGTTCAAATATTATCCCTCTTTTGGTCTTCAGTAAATGAAACACCATTCTTGTTTTCTTTATTCGTTGTCTTTTCGTTCACCATCGCACCGTTCATCTGAATATATGTCATTGTGATACTGGTAAATCAATTTCCTTACAGTCCTTCAACCTCACTCTGTTTTGAAAATGTAATTACCGCTAACTTGGCTTGATTTCATGCTGCACAAGTGTATTTTACAGTTTTGGGATTAGACGAGTTTTTTTGAAGAGAATATTCTTAAAAATTGTTGCTGTTTACTATTGATATGAGAAACTTAAGTTGTTTGAAATTTATATTGTGACATTTCGTATATATACATGTATATTGTTAGTTGGCTCGAGATATCAATGTGTACATCAGATAATCATATCTTTTAACATTAGTTCAAGTAAGATCTTATTTCATGTATACTTTTAACGTTGCTGGTGCATGGTGAAATCACCGTGTGGATCAATAGAAAGTTACTAAATATGGGAGGCAAAAGGGTTAATAAGGCTGTGAAACCTAACCTACTTAGGTAGCTTGGATATGTGTTGAGCATGCTGAACCATCGCCTACCTTGACGTTCAATCCTAAGAGAAGTTGGACTAGGTTAGGATAAAGCTCAGAGTAGCCAGACAGCGATGTGGCATCAGTCCACGAAGTTCCTGAGTGTTCATCTGAGTCATGTAGAGAAATCTAGAGTGCCCACTTGAAGCCATCAAAATGGTGGGAATCAATAGTTAGGAGACCCTTAGTAACTCAGCTGAAAGTTGGTTACATTGTGCAAATGAATTCACTCTTTGACGAATTTCACAGCTTGGATATTGTCACTAACTTTGATTTTTAAATTTTTTTCTGCTCCCATACACCTTTGTGTAATTTGATATCAATCATTTTCTATACACTTTTTCTTTGGATGCTGTTGTAAACTATGGCAACTTGAACAGTTACACTTGTGTACACGGTTCTATCATGATTTTGTTTATTTGGTCCTAAAGCCTATTACTGATTGACTAAAATATAAAAATCTCAACGAAACGTCTTCTATGAAGTGTTAAATGATCGAAAAAATAGCCTTTCGAAGATATGATTGAATGTATCCATTTCTAGAAGTTTGCTTGATGACATTTCAAAGCAGTTCATTATTACTTTCTTAGAATAATTATTCACTGATCGCTTTGAAATTTATTTTCATGATAATATTATAAAAACTTGATGATTGCCACCCAAATGTTAATCATCCATCACTATACTATTTAGTATACAGTTGATAAGTTTACTTATATTAATTAATGCCATAATGGCATCAATTTTCCAGAAAAAAAAAATACTTCTCACTCATTTATTCCTAATATTCAGATGTTCATATTGTATACATAACAGACAATATAGATATCATCAGTTTATTGTGTTCTGTTATACTTAGAATATCTTTGTCACCGAAATTCTTCAAATGCAAACAACAAACATATTTTGAATTTTTAAAATAGTAGAATTGCATTCGGAAGTATTTTACAAGATATTCTTAGTCTAAGTTGAACTCCACAGATGTAATAACCTATAATATCTGGTTAGTAATCTAATCATTCATATCCATGTCTCCTGTTTGTTTATTTTGCATCGAAATCTAATTCGATTGATGAGGTTGTGTTTTCTGAATTTCCATTCATGGAATTCACTGGTCATCCTTTTAATTGTAAAGAAATAAACAGTGATTATTAAACCTATACTTATCGCATTTGGTTAACTTCATATGCTTGTAAGGTAATAAATAAAGTGATTTCTGTTTGTTATTATTTGTCCCTTAGGTTCCTTTGGATCATACGGCTTCAGTAGCACGTCTCTATTCCACTCTGTCCTCTGTAATCTTTTCAACCTAGCTCCACGATTGCCTAGAAGCTCTCATTTCCTCCTCAAACGATCTCCTCCATGTCACCCTCACTTCGGACGCAAAAATCGTCGCTTCCCATCAGGGTTCCACTCAACCGCCTGGCCTGGCGCGTGATATCCCTGAATGGTCTTCTCAGTGCACGATCAATCCATCTCCACTTCCTACTGCATATTTTTTGGACGATGCGTTCTTGGTTGGTTCATTGCCAGCAAGCCAGCCAGAGTTCCTCTTTGCTTATTCTTTCTGGCAATCCATCTGATCTTCAGTAAAGAGCCATTGTAGGCAGTTGTTGACGAGTGTTTTTTGTAAAGCGCCAAGTCTCTGAACCATACAGGAGCACTGACTTGACGTTGGTGTTGAAAATCCGGATCTTGTTCCACAGGCTGAGTGCAGAAGATCTCCACACTGGTTTCAGGTTAATGAACGCCTGTCTTGCTGTCTTTCCGATCCTGGCTGCTTTGACATCCTCTTCTGTGCCACCTGTAGTTGAAACAGTGCTGCCGTGCCTAGATAGGTGAAGTAGACTATTCCTTTAAGTTTCTCTCATTGATGGTGATTCGAGTTTGTTGTTGTTGTTGGTGCTGGTGGTGATGATGTTGTTTGGGTATCATCATCACCTCTGTCTTCTCCACGTTCACTTGAAATCCCATCTTCACTACCCCTTCTGTCAACTTGTTAGTTTTGGCCTGTAGATCGTCGCGTTTGTGTGACAGGACATTAGACATAAATCATCGTCGGCGAAATCCAAATCTTCTAGACTCTTTCCACTGGTCCAGCCAGCGTATCCTCCTCTTCTCGCTCCCCACTGTTTGCTGCACGATCCAGTCGACCACAATCAGGATATCATGGGTGATAGTAGACAGCCTTGTTTTACTCCTGTCTTCACTTCACTTCAGAGGCATGAGTGAGCTTCCGATTGTGAATTACTTGGCTGGCATGTGGCGTCTTCATATAGTTGTTGAATGAGGTTGATAAAGGTTTGTTGTATTCCTTGGTGTTGGAGCAGTTTCCAAATTACTTGTCGGAAGTATGCTGAATGCCTCAATTTTATTAATGCTGAGAATCCATTAAATTATGTAATAATGTGAAATTTTGTTATTCGTTTAACTTTAGTCTTCGGCAACAAAATTAATTTATCCTTGAGGACTTGATAGCATCACATTCATGACTGTCCAGTGACTGATGGATTCATTGAATGCTATAAGGCTGAACCATTTCACGTATCAGCACTGAATTCATGAAATTTATCGAAACTATGTTGAGTTGAACGAAGAATATGTAGTGACAGTTTGTTCCCTGGAACATATCATTCAGTTTTTAGACATTGTACATTTTTGAGATGTTTGTTTGCATCAAGGATGTCTGAAAACTTTCAACACACTTTCTTCAAGCATTGTACACTTCACACTATTTTTGGTTTTCGGTTTGCTGATCAAGATGCGCTTGAAATACATTGTTCGCAAACATTGATGTTTCGGCCTTTTCAACAACAGCAACGGGCACTGCATCTATTGTGTACACGAGTTGAACACATTCTTTCCCTTCGCAAATCATTTAGAACCGATAGTTGCGCTAAGGGATTAAATAGATATTCCTATTCAACATCATTTAGAGAAACAACTGATGTAAGTTTATACATTTATCAATATGACAACAGCAAAAAATTGTTTAAAAAGATAAGTTAGGGAAAATATACCGTATAATATATATTATTCCATTAGAACTTACTTTAGAAGCTTTCATGATGCTCTCCGTCATTTTAGATGGTGGAACAACATCAACTGTCCACTTTGATGTGAATAAATTTGAGTGTGTCTCGTTCTCTTCTCTCCATACTGTACGTGATAACCCACTGTGGGTTTTAGTCGTTTGTTTCAGTCTTATTAAATGATCAATATCTAAACTTTGATCAACACTTTTTAAATTGAATGCACATAATGCATACGTCTGTGAAATTGAGTCAACTGTAGTCATTAATGCATAAAAGACGTTATCTGATTTGTCCACTATTTTTAAAAAAGAAGAAAAAGTGATAAGTGAAGGGTAAAATGTAACGTATACACCAATGGTAGTTTTTTGTAATTTAACTCTCTGAGAGTAACAGCAGTCTAGTGACTCATATTACAAATCGGTTTGAGTTTTTTCTTCAATCATCTTAAGCTATGAGCTAAAGTAATTTGATGGAAAAAGAATTAAGCGACTTAGATGCATTGAAGTTTTTGGCGAACAAAAAATTAACAAAGGATAACTAGGTGAAGAAAATTGTCTTTTTGACGAATACATTTCAGAAATTGTACATAATTTATATCTAACAATAGCTAATGGGTCAGCACAACGTAGTGTTTCTGTTGTCATTATAAGTATGGGTGTACAGCTTCTGAAGATGTTTCTTCTAAAAGAAATTTTTCTGTGTTGAATTGTTTTTTATAAATTTTTCATAACTCATTGACAATATTTTGATCGTTCGACAGATTTCTTAACTTGGTAAAGTTATGGTTGCAAGATAAAATTAGTTCAGTTTACACACGAGGAAATTACGTCAACTGGTTTAACTTCATTGAAATGGTGGAGAATATTTGTAGCTCAGGTGGATACTCTTGGTTGTATTGTGTTCTTTGAGCTGGGTTGTTTAATCGTGACCCTTTCATCGTCTTTCTAGACAACATCATCAGCACTAACTTCAGTACGAAGTGACCTGTCGGTATCTTTCCGTGAGTGATTTAGTGGCTTGTTCTGATAATGTGGTCTGCGATTGGTTGTTTCCTTCGATTGTATATACTTTCCTGTTGGCTGTTCTTCTGCTTGACCTCTGACCTTTCTGTAGTTTGTCATTTTCCTTATTGGTTGATAGATTGGGTCTAAGTCTATTCATCTGTTGACTGCTGACAGACCGGAATGCCACGCTTCTAAGAATTCTCTGATATTCTCTTTGTGTTTCCTCTCTCCGTCCACGATTTCTACATTGTCGAAATTGAATTCATGTCCATAGTTGTCGTCCACATGCATTGAATGATGAGTGATGAAATGTGGTGAGGTTTAATGTCCAACTGGTGTTCATGTAGACGAAGTCGAAGAGGGCGGCTACTTTTTCCAATGTGATGTTGACTGTAGTCATAGCAGTTGATTTTGTAAATGATATTCAATTTGTTTAGAGTTCAACTCACATATCTTCTGCGTAGGCTTCAGGTTTCAATCATGTTATAACTTAGTTTCTTTTCAAACTTAATGATTTTTCCAAGTAAGAATAACTCAACCATTTATAAAAGTTTAAGTTTAGTATCTCTCCGTAAAATAACTTACCGATTTCACATATAGTTCTAAATAAAAAATAATTAGTGTATGCATTGACTGCATAGCATTTTAGAAGAAAACAATGACCGTAAATTATTAAAGTTAGATATTATTCCAATCTTAAATACTCGGTCCATATTTAGCTGGTTTTTATTCAGTTAACTGATAGATGAGGGTAAAAAATCACAGCCTTTTTGAATGGTAGCAGTGGTGGGTATTACTTACCTAGGAGTGAAACCAAAGACGCATGTTTCGTCCTATTTGAGACTCACTAGCGGGATGTACTGACCTCCCAGTGAATGATATTGTTTTCTCCAAGACTCGGATTCAGAACTGATCACTGATAACATCAGAGCGTTATCCACTTCGATACTGAGTCACGATAGCCACTCCTTGTGTGACAAGTATACTTCTTATGTTACTGATTGCAACCTCCCGAAGTATATATGCCTCGATATGGGCTGTAGTTTCAGTCTCAGGAGTAATGATCGATAGTGGATAGGAGTGGGATTCAGGGTACGCGTTTCCTCCTACTTGATACTCGTCAACTGGATACATCTGCCTCAATCTGGTCCAGTGAACGACGGGAAATTAACGCATAATCTTTTCTGGATGTTCAAATATCATCGGATGTAGATATTTCCAATAAATTTTGTCTAACAAAATGCAAATCAACTTTCTTTTATATTCTACACCACTGTAGGTGACAAGAGGATAGGAAGTGTTTTTGATTTGAAATATACTGGTGATAAACATCATACTCTCATCTTTATGGCTCATAAATATCTTTCGATTTTCATTTCTTGAATGAAAAAGTAAAGTCAAACAATGCCAAATTATAGTTTACCTTAAATGGTAATATCAAATTTACCTAGGCAAATAAATAAATCATCAAATTCAGTGTCTTGGTTTCTAAAACTTATCATTAAAATGGATTGGAAACTTTTCAAAAGGATGTTTTTATTCTATATAATAGGAGCGACAAGTTTATGTCCCAAATTTATTAGCATTAATTTGAATAGAGTTAGGAAAACAATTGCAACGAAATAATTGAAACTGATATGATTTCGAGAAAATTATCCACATATGTGAAAATTATGTGTACATATTATTATCCAACTGTGTTCCTATTGTTATTCTTCCTCCTTTCATATTGATAAATAAAGATATATTTGTGTATAATGTAGCATTAAGGTGGCTATTGTTTATATAAATATTTAATCTGAAAGACACAAATTTCCTCTTATATAAAACATTAAACCAATCATGGTGGATTATATAATCTATGGTCATTAGAAAATGAAGCATGCAAATAGGATAGTAGATATCTAGACAATAGTAATAACAATTATCTCTAATGACAAGAACAATGGGAACAGCATGGTATTGTAAACATTTAAACAATGTTGATCAAATAATATTAGTGCTTGTATTATACCGTCATTGATTGGACCGAATTCATCAGTCTCTATTGGCATATGGGCTCCTGCACGGATTCCTCGATATTGCCTGTGTTTTGATTATGTATAGTAATGATGGATAGTGGCTAGCAGTGAAATCCAGAATGCGCATTTCGGGCTGTTTAAGACTCTTTAGGTGGATGTACCTGCGTCTCAGTGAATGATATTGTCCCCACCATGATTCGAACTCGGGACCGATCACTTCAAACGCCGGAGCGTTATTCGCTACACCACCGAGCCACGATAGCAACTTCATGTGCGATGCGTATAGTTTTAGCATACGTGCTTGTATTATGTCAATATTATGCCAATGGAGACCGATCAATTCGGTCCAATCAACGATGGTATAATAGAGGTATTAATACTATTTGATCGGCGTTACTTGTTTAAATGTTTGCAAAACCGTGCTGTTCCCATTTTTCTTATCATTATTGAGATATTATTATTGTCTGGATATCTACTGTTTACGTGCTTCATTTCCTAATTACCACAGACTAAATAATCCATCATAATTGGTTATATATATATATATATATATATATATTAAAGAAAAACCTGTTGAGAGCTAATTGAAAACAATATTGTTCGCTTATTTATATTCTTCTAGTAATAATAAAGTTGAACACTGAGGGTTTTTACTACCGAACAAAATGAATTCTCGAAACTATGTGTCAAACTATTTTGAGTAGGATGATACTATAAAGAGGTGAAGTATATAAAAATGGAACCAAATCGGATGTATGTTCAGAGAATCCTTTATTTGATTAATGCATTTAAACATACTTATCGTTGGGAAAATTAATAACACTTGTTAATCATGTAATACTACACATTTTTTATAAACTGACTACCTAGAACACAAAAAACTAATTTGTTGTATTATTTTTATTATCATAACTATTATTATTGTTATTATTATTGCAATTCATCACTCCCACTTGCTAAAAATCAAGGAATAGACTGATACATGATAATTATTCAAAATAAAGATGATTATATTTAAATACAGAAGGAAAATAATTTTTATTTTACATACGTACGTTTAGATCATAAATGACTAACAGTGTTCTACTTTTTGTATTTGAAATAAGAAAACGCTCCACTTCAAATCTCCACTTAGTTTCGATACCTATAAAATGTAATTTTTAACGTTTACGAGAGTCTGTTGTATTTTTTAGTTAAAATTTCAAGAAATCGACTCTCAAAATATATCCTGCTCAGATGTAAATAAAATAATTAATGGGAAAAATATCTATCCGAAATGAAATTTCTTCTTTGGCACTTTATTTCAGACACTGTAAAATGATGCAACATGTGCATTTAAAGTTAGAACTAATGGAGAATATTTGTAGCTCAGGTGGATACTCTTGGTTGTATTGTGTTCTTTGAGCTGGGTTGTTTAATCGTGACCCTTTCATCGTCTTTCTAGACAACATCATCAGCACTAACTTCAGTACGAAGTGACCTGTCGGTATCTTTCCGTGAGTGATTTAGTGGCTTGTTCTGATAATGTGGTCTGCGATTGGTTGTTTCCTTCGATTGTATATACTTTCCTGTTGGCTGTTCCTCTGCTTGACCTCTGACCTTTCTGTAGTTTGTCATTTTCCTTATTGGTTGATAGATTGGGTCTAAGTCTATTCATCTGTTGACTGCTGACAGACCGGAATGCCACGCTTCTAAGAATTCTCTGATATTCTCTTTGTGTTTCCTCTCTCCGTCCACGATTTCTACATTGTCGAAATTGAATTCATGTCCATAGTTGTCGTCCACATGCATTGAATGATGAGTGATGAAATGTGGTGAGGTTTAATGTCCAACTGGTGTTCATGTAGACGAAGTCGAAGAGGGCGGCTACTTTTTCCAATGTGATGTTGACTGTAGTCATAGCAGTTGATTTTGTAAATGATATTCGGTTTGTCTTGTTTGGTTGTTTCATCTTTTGGTCTGCATAATAGTGTTTGAAATGAATTTGTTGGTTTATGAACCACACCGATTCCAAGTGGTCTCAGTAACCTTGTCGTGATTTTTGATATATTCTTTATGTATGGTAAGACAATGCGTTTATTGACTTCTGTCGATGACTTCGTAGTTGGTGATGCACGAAATATGCAACTTCTGATAAATTTTCGTGGGTAGCCGTTCTTCTTTTAGGTGGACATCAAGTAATTTTCTTGGTTTCTCCGTGAAGTTGTTGTACTGCACTGTGTTCTCGTTCTCTTGAATAGAGTCTGCACGCAACTGATCTTGTGGGTTGT